TATTTTCTTTAGCAGATTGAGCTCGGGACATACTCGAGAGGTAGCGGTTCATTCCAGACGTGCCCTTGAGTTATCTTTACTTTCAGTTTTGTTCTATTCGAGAACTATACTCTGAGACTTGTATATTTTTATTCGAATTCTGTAATTAGAGGTTTGTACATGTGACAACCAAATTCTGGGTAGTGTTGAGTCTTAATTAAAGTCTTCCGCTTATTTATTATCTTTTATTCTCGTATTTCTACTTCTCTATCGTTGTGGTTGGGTTAGGCTGACGTGTCCGGTGGGAAATGAACACGTGCCATCACATCCGAATTTGGGGTGTGACAGGTTGTGAGATATTATTGCTGGTTACTAATCCTTATTCTTTTTTTTCCGTTGTATGTGAAAACCATCTGAGTCTTCTTGGACTCCTATTTCCTTCCTCTTGCATTTTGAGAGAGCCATAAATGCTCGAATCCTTCTTTTCGAGTCAGTCAGCTATTAAACCGACGAACAGGTCTTGAAGTTGAAAGAAGCAATATATCGAGAAATTGAAAAGATTGGGCTTAAAAAGGCCCACTCTTCTTTAAAGAAAAAATTGTATTTTTGTCATTTATTGGGCCTAAGCCTATTTAATTAGGACAAATTACTTAAGTACACAACATAATTTTACCTATTCTCAATATTTTCCTACTCTTTTACGAAAATACAAAAATCCCTTATTTTCCCCCAATTCAACTTAACCGGATACTTTATTAGTTTAAGTATCCGCCCGTTATTAATTAAAGTATCCGTGCCAACAACTTAATAATTTAAGTATCCACCCTTTATTAATTAAAGTATCCGCGCTGCTATATTATGTATCCGAAAGACACTAAAAAAGGGATTTTTTGTAATTAATGAAAGAGTAGGGATAAGAAGTAATTTCTTTCTTATACTATGTGATTTGCCTAATTTTTACATTTAATTATTATTATTATTTATGTTAAAAGTTTAGGACAGGTGAAAGAATTGGGCCTAAGACCCAAAGAGAAAACATTCTATTTTGTGTTAGACTAGGACAGGTGCAGGTGACTCAAATGGGCCAAAGGCCCCAAAACAAAAATGGGTCCAAATACTGGACCAGGCGGACAGAAACCAAATTTGGGCCCAAATCTTTTTCCCTCTTTGTTTTATGTAAAAATTAGGCAAATGACATAGTATAAGAAAGAAATTACTTCTTTTCCCTACTCTTTCATTAATTACCAAAAATCCCTTTTTTTAGTGTTTTTCGGATACATAATATAGTAGTGTGGATACTTAATATAGCAGCGCGGATACTTTAATTAATAACGGGCGGATACTTAAATTATTAAGTTGTTAGCAGCACAAATACTTAATTAACGGGCGGATACATAATATAGTAGCGCGGATACTTTAATTAATAACGAGTGGATACTTAAATTATTAAGTTGTTAGCAACACGGATACTTAATTAACGGGCAGATGCATAATATAGCAGCGCAGATACTTTAATTAATAACGGGCGGATACTTAAATTAATAAAGTATCCGGTTAAGTTGAATTGTGGGAAAATAAGGGATTTTTGTATTTTAGTAAAAGAGTAGGGAAATATTGAGAATAGGTAAAGAAGTGTTGTGTATTTAAGTAATTTTTCCTTGTTTTATTGTGTTTGTTTACTTGCCGATAGCTGTTATTTAATCTTAAGGTTCTAAAAAATTCAAATCCCCAAAAGATACTAATTTTGAATTAATCAATTAACTAAATTATTCGTCTCTTATTTGACTTAAAAATAAATAAATAAACAAGTTTACAAAAATTTTGCTTAGATAATATTTCAACATTTTCTTTAATGGTCCTAACTAACAAAATAGTTCAATTTTGCAAGTCAAGCTAAGATAAAAAAAAATTAGCCAGATAATTAATCGCCGGATAACCGCATATTAGCGGGCATTTCGGATGCTTTCAAACCCTTCTTGAAATGCTACTATGAACCCCGAACCCTTTTGAATACTTTAATTAGATTCCTATTTTAATCTTTTGAAAAAATCGATTTTCTTAATTTCGCTTCAAAAATTAAGTGGCGACTCTAAAAACCAGTCTAAAATATATTTTCCTAATAAAACAAATAAGAAGGAGAAATGATATGGCTTTCTCCTCAATAAATGATAGTATATTATTTGATTTATATGTAGTGAGAAAATAATGTATGGCCTCTTGTGGTTTCCTTGGTATCAAAATTAATTTTAAGTATTTTTAATAAGATATGTATTTTAATTGAAAGGGTGTGTCTTTTATTCTTTGGTTATAACTATCAATTTTATTTAAATCCAACTTTGGAAAATTGCAACGTAACTTTAACAGAGTATCCTTCTCTACAATATTCCTCAAAGAATTCTTTTATTCTCCAAAAAGATCAAGTTCATATTTTCAAAACTTCATCTTTGTGTTCATATAAATTTTGTGTTCTTGGTATATATTTTCCAACACTCTTCGTTTCAATTTGTCTTGTCTAATTTTGATTTGATATGAAGTTTAAGAAAGTAAATAAAACTTTTGAATTTTGTGAATTAAAGCTATGTAGATACCAACATGTCCTTTAATCTTGTGATCTTAAACATGTTATATGGAAAGTTAAAATTAAAGAGTTGCCAAAAAAGGAAAGAAACACCCAAAAAGTACCTTACCATGCCAAGTTTATGTCGAAGGTCAAAGGCGTATCCAGGAGGGGGTCACCGGGTTCACAACCAATATTGCTCCCCTCCTGAAATCATACATATTAGTATTATATTTTTAAAAAATTATTTAAATATAGATATGTGAACCCATAGTTGAAGTATCATACCGTGCGACTATGATTGGGTGCACCTCTCTAAGTGAGGTTAGAAATTTGAATCTTTTATTTAATCTCGTTTTATTTTCCTTTCTAAAATTGGGTAACGCCTCATTAAGTGGTTTGGATAGGTAAAAATAATTTTGGACCTATAATTTTAAAATTTTAATTATTCTTAGTGATAAGAACCTAAATGTTAAATCGATCAAATTTATATCTTAAATCCACCTTTTCGTAATAGTGCACCCATCATCTCAAAATCATGGATATACGTTTTCAATCTCTTAATTCTTTTTTAAACGGACTAAATATAAAAATAAATAAATTGATACAAGTGGAGTATAAATATATTTTCTTAACGATGATAGTTATATTAGACATGCAAAATTGCTCAATTTCACTTGATATAAAATAATTTGACCTTTTCCTTGTATTGAATGGAATCAGCCATTATTCTCGTATCGTAAAATCCATTCACTATCACGTTAGAGCTGATATACCCCTCAACTTTGTCATTTAGAGCTGATATACCCCTCGTTATGAAAGTGACTCATATATACCCCTACTGTTATACAAATGACTCACATATACTCTTTTCCTCTAACGGAAGTGAAAAAATTAATTTTAGTTTAATTTTTTAATTATTTTAAAAAAATATAATCTCATATGGGTATATTTAATCCTCCTCAAACATATATTATTTTTTTAACTTTTTTTTTTGTTTCAATGACTAATTTAGATTTACTATTTTGATGGTCAAATTTATTTAAGTTTCGCTAATATTCTTGTATAATTTATTATAGATGACCCAATATTTTTCTTCAAATACAAAAACTAAATTACAATATATCCGAAAAAATTGTTTTAAATTATAATATAGCAACAAAAAAATAGTTTTAAATTTTTTTCTTTGTACTAAGCAATGAAAGAATAAAATAAAATAAGAATAAGAAACTCAAATAATGATAATAAAGAAGTCAAAAGATAATTTATGTCCGAAAAAAATTATAACATACCTTGAAATTTGCTAGAAAAATCATATATACCCTAAATGATTTTTAAAAAAAAATCAAAAGTCAAAAATATAAATTTAAAACTAATTTTTTCACTTCCGTTAAATGAAGGGTATATGTGAGCTCATTTTGTAACGATAGGGGTATATGTAAGCCGTTTGTATAACGGTAAGGGTATATATGAACCACTTTCATAACAAGGGGCATATCAACTCTAAATGACAAAGTTGAGGGGCATATCAGACCCTTTTCCCTTTAAACTTTCTACACATCTTTAGAATTTGAGGACGATGGGTGCATTACTAAATGTAGATGCGTGTTATGTTAAATATTGACACCTCGCTAAGAAAATTTGTTAAACAAATATAAAATCAAAGATATCAGTTAATATAAATTAAACAAAAATGTAATATCGTTCAATGGGTGATTTGATGATCTCGACCCTAAGTGTATTTGAGGTTGCTAGTTTGAGTATGACTTGACTTTTTTATATGTCATTTGAAGCATAGACCTTGGACCAGTGCATCAAATGAGCTTTTATGTTTAAGAGTGCCCAATTAAATATATGGTCCTTATTTAGATATATACATAAATTTTTTCGAAGTTAACGAGTGTACGTATACCTCATTTCTCAAACATGAGTCCGCCTCTAGGTGAACACCCTGACAACCCCTAGACTCGTCTTTGTTCACAAGTTTACTTATTTTTCTTCTAGATTATCGTCAATTTCTTTCGAGCTAGATCCAAAATTTGTAATTTGTAAGTGTTGACGACAATTACAAAATTGATATACAATAACTACTGATTCACAACAAAATAATCATATACACTTGGTAAATTTCTTAAAATTCAATGACTAAACTTCACGCGCGTGTCCATTTTCTTCGAGAAAAAGTACAAATTTACCCTAAACTACCGATTATATTTTAAAATCAACCATTAAATGGAATCAACCATTTTTTTCTCATTCTTTTTCCATCACCTACTCTAGATTAGAAATTTCTTCATCCCCATTAGATACGTTTATATGACTTGATTATTCTACATGACTAAATTTCACTATTATTTGAACTTCTTAATAGGGTAAACTTGACTTTGCTTTTTTTCCACAATACCTTTCTTATTTTTGTCTATATAAGAAATAATTTGATGTTTCCTTAACACACAATTTCACCTCAAATATTTCTTACTCTTCTCAGTTCCAATTTTGCTATGTCTTTTCTAAGTTTTCTTGTAGCTTCCCTTTTACTTGTTGGGCTGTTAATCCAAATGACAGGTCTCTCTCTCTCTTACATACTCACTAATAATGTATTGTTACACTATATATTAAGAGTAACATATTATAATATTGTAACAAATTATCTATCTTATTTACTAGAGTATTGATCTCAGTTACTATAAATAATTAGGGGTATTTACTTCTAGGTGACCTGATAGTAAGATAATTCTTTCGTTGTTGGTGTAAATGAGTTAAAAATTCTAGTAAAAAAGCACTACATATTATTTTAAATTAGGAGGGTCCTATTGGTGAATTGTGAGGACATAAAGGATGATAAATCTACGTAACTAAGCAAACATAATTATTTTATACCTAATCTCTTCTCTCTTTTCCTCTTTTGCTCGCCACTCTCCTCCCTCCTCCTCTCCTCTCACATTTTTTTCTAGCCCTCTCTCTCTGCCTCTCTACAATTCATTGCATGAATTTTTTTTCTTATCCTTATATGTTTCTTACATATCAATACAAAACACAATTAAGCTTTACCTGAATTATTAATTTTTATCTACATGTGCTTCTTGATCTTCATATTTTCTAGGTGGCTGTTAATTGTTGATTCATTTTTATTGGATTAACTCTGGTATATCACAAATTCCCATAATGGGTTCTTGATTTGTTGTTCAATGTTTGAATATTCTATTCTTCTTAGATTGATACAACCAATTGTGTATATGTATCAGAAAAAAATGATACAATTATTATCAAAGTGAATCTTCTTCGATTGATACAATCAATTCTATATATGTATCAGAAAAAATGAAACAATTATTATCAAAGTGTATCTTCTTTAATTGATAGATAATGATACATCCAATTGATCTAGGTGTAATTTTTTTTTTATAAAAATTAATATAATTGTTATCTGACTAGATTTTTGTTTTTAAAAAAAATGTAATACAACTATTATCTGAAAAGTAATGTATTTATATATTATTTTAGGGGTGATATTCAAACATTGTATCAATATTTTTTTCATTTGTATATCACAATAAATTGATACAAGTTGTATCATGTATTTATTTTAGGGGTGATACAATATGCATATGTCTATCTATATTTCAATTTCAAAACTAATATGTGCATTTGTCTAGCTGTGTGCGAGATTGAGAGAGGAGAAATGACAGCGAGATTTGGGGAAGAGAGAGAGAGAAAGAGAAGAGATTGTGTATATGTGTATCTTAGTTTCAATTAAGATATACAAGTTGTTTCTAAGATACAACATGCTTGCCTCTCTCTTTTGTCTCTCATGATCTCACTCGACTCTCTCTTCTATCTCTCTGTATCCCGCGCTCCTCTTTCCTCTCTCTAAAATTGTTGTTATGAATTGTGAATAGATAAACTATACTAGTTATAATTATAGTCCGAACTATAACTATTTGTCATTTTAATGTAGGAGCACAACCTATTGGAGTATGCTATGGAAAAATTGCCAACAATTTACCATCAGATCAAGATGTCAAAAACCTATACAATTCTAATGGCATTAAAAAGATGAGAATTTACTATCCAGACACAAATGTCTTCAATGCTCTCAAAGGAAGTGACATTGAAATAATTCTTGATGTCCCAAATCAAGATCTTGAAGCCCTAGCCAATCCTTCAAGTGCCAATGGTTGGGTTCAAGATAATATAATAAGTAATTTCCCAGATGTTAAATTCAAATATATAGCCGTTGGAAATGAAATTGATCCTGGTACAAATACCGGTCAATATACACAATTTGTTGGTCCAGCAATGGAAAATGTTTACAACGCGTTAACATCAGCAGGGTTGCAAGATCAAATTAAGGTCTCAACCGCAACATACTTAGGACTCTTAACAAACACCTACCCACCAAGTGATAGTATTTTTCGCGAAGAATACAAAAGCTTCATTAATCCTATAATCGAATTTCTATCACGAAAGAACCTCCCACTCTTAGCCAATATTTACCCTTATTTTGGCCATATTGATAACACTAACGACGTTCCTCTTTCTTATGCACTTTTCAACGATCAAGGGACTAATTCTGCGGGATATCAAAATCTTTTTGATGCCCTTTTGGATTCAATGTATTTTGCTACGGAGAAACTTGGAGGACAAAATATTGAGATCATTGTATCGGAAAGTGGTTGGCCTTCTGAGGGACATCCTGCAGCAACTATGGAAAATGCACAAACTTATTATACGAATTTGATTAATCATGTGAAAGGAGGGGCTGGAACACCAAAAAAACCTGGAAGTACGATAGAAACTTATTTATTCGCCATGTTTGATGAAAATCAAAAGGATGGAAAAATAAGTGAGCAACATTTTGGACTCTTTTATCCTGATCAGAGGCCAAAGTATCAACTCAATTTCAATTGATGATATCATATTATAATTAATATATAGTGCTATGAATAATAAGGAGAAATTTGTGTCTTTCTCCTCAATAAAATGATAGCATATCTTATAATTAATATGTGTTGACAAATGTACGGCCTATTGTGTAACCTTGATATCAATATATGTTATATATATACTTAAAAATCCATTTGACTTTATGTTATATTCAACCTGATTAAGTACCTATAATTACTCATAAATCATATCAGATAGTCATGATTTAAAAACTTTTAGTTCTTCGCCCCGTTAACAAAGAAAGATAATCCTTTTCCTATTCTAAATTCTATCTACAGTTGAATCCATCGTCTACACTCGACAATTTCTCCGGTGTTCGAGTTCGAGTCAATGATCAAACTTCTCTAAACGTATAACTTTCCAATTTTTTATTTTAGGAAAATTCTTTTTGGCCAGAAAATTTGGCCAGAATGATAGTTTTTATATGTTATTTTAACTTTTTAAATATTTTTACCCTTTTAACTTAAATATATTTTAACTAAAAAATGAAAAAAAGATTAGTTTGTTCTAAAATTAAAATTTTTTTTTATAGTTTTTTTAATTTTCTGGCCATTTAGCACTTTCCTTTATTTTAATGACTAATTGTAACGACCCGAGCCTACACCTTGGGCGGGACTGGCACTCGAGAACCATTGCTGACCCCAAGCGAACCCTTGGCCTAGCTTACTACATTACTAAAAAACTTCTAAAAACGACGGACCGAAAAGCGACGGATGGCGACGCCATTTGCCATGCCGTAGCTTGCCACCGCCGTTGCTGTCATCGCCGCTGCTTCCTCTCTCCATTGTCTCTTTCTCCTTTAATTTAAGGTTAAGGTTTTATCAAATTAGTTTTAAACTTTTTCAATTTTAGTTATATTTGATTTTGTTAATTAGTTTATTGGATTTGTGTTTTATTTAATGATTGATTGTGTTTGATAGTTAATGAATTAGGGTTTTTAGGATTTGGGTACTAGTTTGAATTTGAAAATCTTTAATTTGATTGTGAATTGGGATTTTTTTAAATTTGATGATTGTTAGTAATTAGTAAATTGTTAATTTGAATTTAGAAGTTAGATATTGATGAAGTTTGATTGTTTATATATCATGAATATATAGGATGAATGTTTGAATGCCATGAATATATGAGGTTTTTTTTTTTTTAATTAGAACTTGAATATATATAACTAATTGTTGGATTAGAAGTTTATATATAACTAATTTTTTAGATTAGATATGAACTTGAATTTGAACTTGAAACTTGAATATAACTAATTCTTGGATTAAAAGTTTATATATAACTAATTTAAAAATTATATGAACTTTAATTTAATTAATTAGAACTTGAATATAAATATTTTTTTATTAGAAGTTTATATATAACTAATTTTAGAGATTATATGAATTTGAATTTATAACTTGAATATAACTAATTCTTGGATTAGAAGTTTATATATAACTAAGTTTAGAAATTAGATATATATGAACTTGACTTTTAGAACTTGAACTTATAATTAGAAGTACATGAATATAACTAATTTTAGAACTTTGATATCAACTTGAATTTAGAACTTGAACTTGAAATTAGAACTTGAACTTGAACTTGAATATAACTAATTCTTGACAGTGGCGGATCCAGGATTTAGACTCCGTGGGTGCCAAATAGACTTATCGATTAAATTAATTATATATTTGATTAAATTATTCGTCTTTTCGATATAAATTAATTTTAGTTCTCTAATTTTTCTTAAAAGAACGTGTGCAACAATTTCCTTTTTCTTAAAAAAACGTCTTTCTCAAAAAAATAGGTACAAATGGGATTCAAACCCGCAACATCAGCCTTCTAAAGTTGCCCTCCTACCGTGGCACCACAAGCCAATTTTGTTCTGTGGGTGGCACGCTTTATATAAATATAAATATTATATATATATACCTATGTATATATAGAGTTTCCGTCGAAGTTCGGGGGTGGCGTGGCACCCTCACACCCCTTAATAGATCCGCCTCTAATTCTTGATGACCTTAATTAATTAGAACTTAATAATTAAACTTAATTATAACTTTAGACTTAATTTATAATAACTTGGACTTAATTAGAATTAATATAATTAATTTTTTGAAATCTTAAACTTAATTAAAATTTATGAATTAATTAAGCTTGAACTTTGTAGATCTTGAAATGTAGTATTTATGAACTAATTAATTAGATATAGCGTAATAATAAATTAACTTATTAATTAAGTAATTATAAATATATATTAACAATATAAATTAGGTTAATGTAGTAAATATGAATTCAAGGTTCACGATCTCATGTTTATGGATGATTTCATGATGTTTAGACGTACCTTAGAGTGTTGGAATCAACTAGAAAACATAGGTACGTTGCTAAGGAACTAGTACGGAAAGATGGGGAAGAAATGGAAAGAACTGGCGTGGCGTCCCTGGCGCTCTAAGAGGCGCGGGGCGCTAGCCCTTGAAATTCAGAGAGTGACTTGGGGCGCTCTGCCTGGCACGGCACCCCAGAGGTCAAAATTCAGAGGCCCCTTCTTGGGGCTCTGAGAGGGGTGGCGCCCCAGGACCCTACCAGGTGCTCCCCGACTTTTCTTCTTCGTTTTTCATCTCTAAACCCTCTAATTTCACTTGATTCTTTCCCCAAACACTTATATGTTCAAAGTATGAAAGATTCTACTCGAAATCACACCCAAAAACATGAATCGAACTCAAGAAACTTCAACAACACAAACCCACAAGAGTTCAAAGAATTTCATCAAGAACTCATAGGATTTACTGTCAAATCAAATAAACTCCACTGAATTGAATCATGATTGGTGCGTGGGTGAACTAACCCAACGCTATGTGATCTCACATACCTCGTAGGATTGAATCCTTGGCGAAATCCACAATCAAACTTGAACGTTCTTGACGAATCTTGCCTTTTCTCCTTTCTCCAATCCCCTAGCATGAACTTCAACTTTTCTAAACTGATCTAATTCTGATTTGACCATAATTAAACTCCTAAAAACGGATTAAAATAATTGGGAAAGGAAAAGACTAAAATACCCCTCCAAAATTCGGTTGAGACTTTCCTTAATTGAACAACCCAACTTCAAATTGGCATATCTCACTCATACGAACTTGGAATCGCGCAAACTCGGCGGCGTTGGAAAGATTATTCCAAGATCTTTCCTACGATATCTGGAAACACACGTAACTCATCCTGATACAGGAGTTATGGTCGTTTAAAGTTGTCCAAAAATTCAACCTAACATACTTAACATATTTTCCTTTCCAAAAATGACTATTTCCAATTCTTAACTTCTTCCTAGTTATTTCAATTTGCGAGATTTTACATGTTTTCACGAAGTTGTCTGTATAAACTACTTGCCTTGATTGCAATATTTCTTAGAAAGTTACCATAGGACTTTCTAATTGCAAGCTATACTTGCTCGAGTCATATATACTTGATTGCAAACTTATTAAAAAAAATCGGAGTAGTATTAAATGAGCATCCACAATTCTATATGTCTAATCAGTCAATCACGCTACCTTACAAGCCCCACTATTTTATTATCATAAATTGTTAGGGCAAAAAATATGACTTTTCTTAGATGAGCCAAGTAAATATGGCGTTTTGTTCAAGTTCATCGTATCGTGATTGGTATTGTCTTCATTAATGGGGTTGTGTGGAATACTTATTTTTCCAAAAAATATAAAGAAAAAGCAAATGGGAAACCTCATCAATAAGACGAATGTTTAGATAGTTAACCAACTGCGTTATTAAGATTTATAACTATTATGATAAAACATAGCGGTGGTTTCAAATTAGATTTGTTATTAGTTATTTTTTTTTATCTTACCCATAGTTAGGTGTTTCTTAGCAAAAGATATAGCGATTGAGATAAGACACAACTACTTCTAGACTATGATCGAAATCTCAGAGACACATCTTAACTAAACTAAGGTCCTATTACGCCCAAATTCATTTTTTTGGGTACTTTTTATACACCTTTTGACTTACGTGGCACACTTCGTGACTCACGTAGTTGAGGCACGTGAGAGATGTTTGGATGTCATATAAGCCAAAAAGGTATACAAAATTACAAAAATATGGATTTTTTTGGGAGGGATGGGGGGGTAATACGACCTTAGTTTAGTTAAGATGTGTTTTTGTAATTTTGGTCATAGGGTGGGGGGTACTTGTGCCTTATCTCAGATTTGATGAAGACGAAAAATGAATAAGAAAGGAAGAAATAAATAATAAACAAGAATAATTAATATTAAAAATAATTTTACCTGATTTAAAATTAAATTAATCGAACTTCAATACCAGTATCAAATGTCGTACATGAAAAACAAGAAAAAATATGCTCAATTTGAGCTTTTTCCTCGTATTGAATGGAACCAGCCATTTTTTATCGTACAATTCATTGACTCCATCACAGTACTAGATTTGAACTTTCTACATAATTTTAATTTAATATTTTCTTCATATGGACCAATATTACATTGTTAACTTTAATATAATATTCCATGAAGTGTTTCACAAGGTATGACTTGGTATTCTATACAAAATTATACTTTTAATTAACATTTTCTTCCTTGCCCACTTCTTCTTGTCTACTCTGCCCGTGTTAAATTATGTGATGGTGTTTAACAGAAATATACAATTTAATAATATTTTTTTAAAAAAAAATATTTGTGGTCAAAACAAAGTTGCAGAGGGAAACCGATTTGAATTTATGTCAAGGCGTTCGACTACAAAAGCCATACATGCATCTTATAAGAAATTGTTGGATCAATACAATATAGAAACAAAAAAAGGGAGTACTTAAACATTGTAATTATTAACCTAAAAAGATATATGATAAAGTCGTCCGGGATATCTTTTGGAGATGTTTGGAGTTTAGAGGTGTATTTATGGCTTACATTAAGGTTATTAAAGACATGTATGTGGAGAGAAAACCTGAGTTAGGACCGTGGGAGATGACTCAAAATATTCCTCGATATCGTGATACGATTGCACTATGGATTAACCCTTAGCATATTCATTTATGCCTAAGTGATGAATATACTGGCATTATATATTAAAAAGGAAGTGTTGTGATGTATGTTACCTTAGATATTGGTT